TGGCAATGCTGCACTTAAACTAAAGAAGTTTTTATCTATTAAAATCCCGATTTGAGATTTATTTGAATCAGATGACTATAAACTCACTCGTTTTCCGTTTGACCGGCTCGACGACGATAGCCTCTGTCTTTATAATTTCTGAGGAGAGGAGCAACTTGCAGTGAAACTGCCCAATGACTTCTCGGCGACAAATCATCGTGCCTCCTGATACAGCTGATTCTTTCTTTAGAAGTTAGCTTGTGGTTTCCTGAGGGAATTACTCTGCAGCAACGAAACTCTAGAACACTGACGAAGGGGAACTTTCGCCGCACTTCGTTCAAAGGAATAAAGTGTTATGTCAACAGAAATGAACACAGCTACCCATTCTTACCATAGATTTCACAATAGAAAAGAAAACACAAACGCAACAAACTAAACATTCAGTAACGGGAGTTTTTCGTTATAATCTTGACCTGAACACTGCAGGCGAGAAACCTGAGAGAGATCGTTTTTAGCAAATTATCATATTGCTCAAGTGTCTAGAGCAATACCAGCAATTCCAACATGGACAAATTACAAAAAGTTCAAAACTTTACTGGACGAATTGATCTAGGACTTAGAAAATATGATCATATTCCCGAAGGACTAAAATCATTGAATTGGCTCCCTATTAAAGATAGACTTAAATTGAATGACGCAACTATGGTTTTCAAATGCATTCATAATCTTGCTCCTGATTACCTTGCAAATAAGTTTAGGCTACGTTTTTGTGTTCATGACAGGAAAACTCGATCAGCTAATACCCTGGATATACCTTTTTGCCGCCTTTCAACTGGTCAGAGGTCTTTTGCTTATAGAGAAGCGAAACTGTGGAACTCATTGAGCAGCAATCTTAAGTGTTTGAAATATCCCAAGAAATTTAAGCGTCAATTTACTAAGCTGCTATTAGGTTAACTTCATTATTCAATATTTTTATTCTTCTGATATATATATTTAGCTGTAACTATAATTCAATATTCTTTAATTTTAGTTTTATTTCTTTTAACCATTTGAATCGATGCAGAAAAACCCTCTCAGGGAGCTTCGATAAAGATCTGTATCTGTATCTAAATACATTTTTCACTAAATGTGGGCGGCGAAGAAATGTGATAGAAAATCTTACAACATTGATTCTACGTTTTATCCGCCTTTATGCTCTTCATTTACTTCATTACACCGATCTGATCACCAGTTACATCCTACGCACACCAGCAGGATCAACATCCGCGACTGCTCTCTTTTGCCACCCAAACTTGATGATCGAAGGGGGAGGAATTTGTTTACAAGCGTCTTATAATTGGCTGCAAATCGGAAGTAGTATATTACTAAACCCCTTCGAAGGGCGTTAGGAGGCCTTTTTTTCTCTTTTCTCAATTTCGCTTCCGTTGTTAAGTCAAGGGCATTGTCGCACGAAGAAGGGCTCGTAATGAAAAGTCCTCGCTTGAAAAGAGATTTTTAAAGAAAACATATACTGCGTCGTAATCTTTTTCGATGATAATGTGTGGGAAAATATTTGCTTCAGTCTCTCAGATGATTCAAACGTGGGAGGGTACCAGTTCGCAGTGAGCCAGGTAGCCGGGATGCTACCTTTTTCAACATCATGCAAAATTAACTTGTAAGAATATTTGAAAGGGAACGTTGTAATCTCGGTTATCTTTAAGCTTTCATAAAATGCATGGGTTTTAAATCATTGAAACTTTCTTTGAAAGAGTACAGGTAAAAGTGCTTCTTAACAGCAATGTTGACATAAATCCTCTTACCTTAATGCCATTAGGTTCAAGGATGGTACAGCTGATTGAATGGTAATCATACATAATTAATATTTCTGCTCTGTTTTAGTTTGAATATAGATCAGTCTCACCTCAGAGAGATACAATTTCGGGAGAAAACGGCTAAATCGTTATTTAGTTCTTGCTTCTACAGATCAATATATCATATATCAAGGTAAAATAAGTACTTCCTTTATTACAAATAGAAATTAAAAAAACTAAGTCGATGAGCGTAAACAATAATTCCAATGAATAGCTTGCATTATTGATAGTATAGTTGTTATAAATATAATTAGCCCACAGACTCCACTAGTAATTTAGCGCGATCGCAGTCAAAAGATTG